CATTGTTGTCAGTTAAGAATAAGTAGCCTTATTCCTTCCTCTCCATGAATCTTCTCCATAAGAAGCAAATTGGCCTTTCCAATTTGAGAGAGCTTCAGTAACCAATTCCTCCACTAAGAGACTCAAGCATTAATTATATCAGCCAAGTCCTCTATTCTATGGATATCACCAAATTGAGTCTTACTCTGAATCTTGATATTATATTTGATATTCCAGGCTTCTTGACAAGAACGAAGCTTGACTACCAACAAAAGAGGATTCTCCCCACCACTCTTAGGTGAGGTCTTCAAAACCCTTAACCTTGATATATTTGTTCATAAAGCTAAATGACCATGGGCGGCCCCAAACAAATGGGAAAGTGATCTGAAGTAAGTCAAGAAAGAAGTTTTTGCACAAGGCCCCTTTCCTCCAATTCAAAACATAGTGAGAACAAAATCTAGTAATGCAAAAACAAGAAAGTTGCCTATCATGTTTGACCAAGTCCATTTTCCTCTCAACAAAGGAAGGTCCACCAGTTCAAGTCTTATCAATAATTTCCCTAAATGCCTTAGTGCAAGAGGAGGAGAAGGACTCTTTGAATCTCTCATACTCATAGAACACCATGTCGAACCCTCCTGACATGATCTAAATCTTTCCAAAGAAGCTTCCTTTCACTACCTTCACCCTTGCTGTAGACTCCAATAAAATCCAAGGTAGACAAAAATATTTGTTTTAAATAGGCATGATATAGAAACTTTCCCCAGCCCTTGATGAGATCTAAATTGCTTTCTTTCTACACAACCAAAATTCGCCCAGAAGATCCAACAATCGTTTTGGCTTTCTAGCCCAAATCTAATCACCTCCACAAACAATGGATCATCGTCATTCAACTACATTTTAATCCTTGTATTTAACATGATACATAGATAACAGAGATACCTATTACACCTCAAAACTATTGTCCTCTTTTCTTAAAAATAACTAATTGAACAACCCAATCTTTTTAACTCTCCACCTAACTTACAACTTTCTTCTACCATTGGACACTATTGGTCTTTTGAGATTCAAAAGTTGACTTGTGAACTTTAATAAATTGAAATAATCGACGTACAAGCTCCTTAAAACCAATAAAAATAACACCCAAAAGCTTACTAACCATAATCACTTATGTGAGCATGGACATGGTTCAAGTTGGTGGAAATAATATCTCAATGTCAACCGGGCCCATTATAAGGAAAAGAGCTAACATATTACAACAAACCTTTCAACTCTTTGTTCAAGCATGGATCAATGAAAAAGATGAGCTTGTACCCACTAAAGAAATCCAAAGAAAGAAGACAACAAGACCATTAACCCAATAGTATAATAGTATATACTATTCATCCCAAGTTCAAGAGGAAGATAAACAAGAAAAGGAAAAAATTCTGCAAGATATGAAAAAAGAAAATTCCCATGAAATTTTATTCCTTAATCATGTGGGAAATTTTCACAACTAAAGATCAACCAAGGAGGGAAATTGTTCTTAAATTGCAAACTATCTTAAAAAAGAGAAAAACTCCTTAAATGCCAAATCCTACAGAAAAGAAAAATACTTGAAAAAGAGTAAATTATCTTACCAGAATTTCTTCCCCTAAATCAACCACAATTAATTAAGATATTTTCATAGGGAGATTATATCTATCTTATTTTAGTTGTAATTTTCTTAATTTTTATTAAATTTCTATTTTAATCTAGATTTAATTTCCTATTTTTACCATTAATTAGGACATTATCTTCTTTATTATTCACATGGCCTACACTGTAAATAGCCATTCAATTCAAAGTTGTAATTCATTAAGAATTTTTAATTTATTAATAAAATTCAAATATTTTTATTTTAAACTTTCAAGCTTGCAATAGTGAGTGAGTGGGTTTTCGACCGATTTGTTGTGTTAGGAATTGAAATTACTTATTAAGATAAGTCCCGTTGCGTATTTTCAATTCTACTTCTTTATTTTTTTTCAATTACCTTAGTTTTCACTCCCTTATTAAGTGCGAGTCAAGTAATGAGGCTTTACTTAGGGTTTTGAGTTTCTGACTGCTAATGCATATGCAGAGTTTTGGATTGCATTGTTGATACCGAGTTATGCATTAGCCACTTTCTAAGCGCCCATTGGGACACCTCCATCTCACCGAACCCCCCGAATAAATAGAATAAGAGCTTCCTTCTATAGCCTCAGCCTTCCCCCATCATCCACTATCATAAGATCACTCATTCTTTTGGATTTTGAGAATATCATTGATACTCTAACAGCATTGTAAATGCTTTTATACATGGGTAATACCCTTATTTTCTTGGTATCATGTTAATAGATACTTAACACTTTTTATTTCAAAAAAAAAAAATAAGATCATTCATTCTTTACACCCTCAATTCCTTATCAGGTGAACCAAAAATACGAAGTGGAAAGATGGACATATCTAACAATAGTTGACAATAATGAGACTAGTAAGAACTTTAGTTTATCCACATCTCTAACTTAGCTCGAAACTGTACATAAGTATGGTCAAACACTACTAAGTATTTTTAGGTAAAAACAAAATTTATTTTTGACTTATGACAAAATGAAACTAAAAGATGAGAATAGATACTTTCGAAAAATGCCTTGTATTGTAAAAATGAATTATATTTTTTCCAAATAAGTATATTCATTAACTTTATGTTTCACTAATTTATTAATTCTATATATATTGAATCAAAGAAATAAAATGATTGATTAAAATAAAATAAAATAAATATCTTGAAATAATTTAAAATATTAGAATAATTTTGTGGTGCGATATTCTATTATTTCACACTTATTAATAATTTTGTTATATAATTAACTAATATAATAGTATATTTATATTGAAAGCACTATTTACAGCCAATTCTACCGAACACTATAGTGATTTCATCTTAAACTTCTTTTTTACTAAAAAGATATTAAGAGCACTTTTAGCAGCTTACACCAAAATGATCAATACCGCCAGATGAACCCTAAAGTTTCTTTTTACAAAAGCATCAGTCTTCATTGAAAGCCATTGAGACGATTAGGCAAAAAAGAAAGCCGCATGCGAGGACTCAAGAGTCTGATTCTACCTCCTTGATGGTTCCCAAATGGTGCTCTCAGTAGACACCCAAGCAAGGTCTCAAAATTGGTTCACTTGGGCTTGAGAAAACCAACTTCCTTTTGGCTTCTTTAATCTCCTAACATCAAACCATTGCCTTTCTCCTTTAATGAGAGTTTGGGCTTAGAGAACAGATACTTGGTTGGAAGTGCAGGCCCATAGAGAGAGCTTGATGGGGGTCTTTTGAAGCCAAAATTTTTGCTTTGAAATTCAGGTTGTGAGCAAACTGGGTCAAGTTTAACAGGTCCACCTAGTGAAACCCACAACATCAAACCAATAAAAGGATGACGCCAACCCCACAGCCTTCTTCCTTGCACAATCTGTTACCAGTGAAACTAATAACCAACTGCTCTTTGCAACAAGCCAGTGACTGTCGCCATATGGCAAGGAACCAGGTTATACGACAACTTGGGAACATTAAGCTTAGATGCCTACTTATTGAGCACTAACATTGCTTCGCCACATCCAAACCCACAACTCCTTTGACTGCAAAAGAAAAAGTTATCACCCCCTCCATCTCCGTGCCTTCAAGAAAGAACAATATAAAAACCTCTCCTTTTCTCAACTGTAAACTCCACAATTTTCTGAAGTTCTAAACCGAACACAAAGAACCTCCCTCTCTCCTTCTCTAAAAATCCTTCTCCAGAACATGAAACTGGACTCCCATATCTGTTCTGAAAGGGAGTTGAAGAAACAAGTGACCTCTGAACCAATTAAATAAATTGATCTCCTTCTACCTCTACCATCTCCAAAGAAAATGAGAATATTAATATCATTCCCTTCTAAGACCGTATTGAAAGTTCCCCTTTATCATCAAGAGCTTCCTTGGTGACAAAAGAGGCATGACCAAGGTGAGGGAACCTAAAATAGGGACAAAATAAAGGAAAGTGGAAGGAGAGAGAGAGAGTAGAGAACATAGCGAAAGACTTTTATTTACGTATCATAGTTCAAACTGGTTATATTATCTACTTCAGATTTAATCAACCCTTTTGGTGGTTTGCATCAATACAAGATCCAATATCTAGATTAAGAGCCTCTCAAAAATCCATGTGGAAAACGAGATATGCATGGCTAATCTCTTTCTCTCAAATTATAAAATAACTATTTATGCCCTTGTAGGTTTGGCTTTTTTAGAGTCATACTCATACAAGAATAAACCAAATAGAGATATAGATATATATACATATACGATTTAAAAAGTGGAAATTTGGTAAACCTTATAATGTAATGGTTCTTCAGCTTGTTTGACCAAATTGATCTTACTGCAATGCCACTCTACACCTAAAAATATCTATTCATCTTTCTACCTCAATATAATCAACTTTTTATATTGATTAATACCAAAAACATTACATTATCTCAACTTTTAGTTAAAAACTATATGTAAGTCCTTTTTTTTGGGGGGGAAAAAGAAACTATATGTATCTTCACTATCTCAATTAAAAGAAATTATTAGCTCATACTTGTATACTTTTGACCTTTTAATAACGATGAAATTTATTTGAAACTAATTTTAAATACTGGAAGGATGAATTTAATGTGTTATTACATATTTTCAATTAGAAATCCTTAAAGTGTCCTTTTTAGTTATTTTAGAATTTTCAGTTTAGAAGAACTATTTATACCAAAAGACAGTCAAAAAATGGTATAACCAACTAATAATGCAGTCAAATAAAAGTATTATCAACTAACAGATTTGAGATTTTTGGGACCTTGTAAGCTCATCAGCCAAAAACAGACTCATGATGAAAATGTGATAAGAGGCTATCCTTCTAAGCCAAGAACTTAAACAAAAACAGAGAAGAGATCTTCACCATAATGTCAATTTATTGACCTAAAAACAGACAGGAGAAATCAATGATGTTACATACAGTTATTTGGTTGAAACTTCGGTTTACAGCAATTTGCACCATCTTTCTCCAGACAGTACTTTCAATAAGGGCATCGGTTGTGATTACCTGGAACAAGTACTTCTGTTCAATAACGGAAAAAGAATTTATCATTTCTCAATGTCAGGAAATTGAGATCTGAAGGACATACACCAAGCATGGTAGCCATGTTAGGGTGGATCATCCCAGAACCTTTTGCAATCCCCCCAACCCTAATGTTGGTTCCTCCAACCTGCGCAATTGACCATTTTATGAAAGGGTATACAATTTTTGCAGGCACCAATTAAAAAAATAAATTTATTCTCAGGACAGTTACTTTATTTGTTTAAGCAAGGGCTATAACCCAAAAGTAGCAGAAGTACACAGAAAAGAAACTATAATGGCTCAGGAGTAGAGACATTTCAAACTTATATGTTTGTGTTGCATGTTTGAGTCTCACTGCAAAATTGACTCCCCAACATTTTTTGTGCTGTAAATATAATGGAATTCACAGCATCTAAAATAAGAACCAAGTCCTTGCACACCTCTGACTGAATTGCCACGCTTTTGCTAACAAGATCAGTTGTGGTGATCGCCACTGCTGCAGAATCTGCCCTGAACACCAATTGATAAGATTGAAGAACAGTCAAAGAAAATATGAATATCATCAGAGAAACTTACTAATCAAGGATCAAGGTGCCATTTCGATTTTATACTACAAGATTAATAATAAGGTTAAAATAAAAAGAGAAAAGCATGGAATAGATACAACTAAAATTTTCATGGGCATAATGATATCAATAAAGACATAACACAGAGCATATTTATCTAAAAACTTGAATAAGAGACTAAGAGTTAGTGGTGCAGAAAAATGAGATTACCCTTTCACGGATGATGAGAGAAAATTAACTAGTTTTGGAAGGGAAGCTAGAAGTGCCTCCTGCATAACAAATTAGTAGCAAATTTATCAATTACCTATGCTTGGATGACGAAAAAAGAATGCCACAAAATCTATCTTTCACATCCCAATTCAAACTATCTTCATCTGATTCCTTAGAACATCCAATATAGAAGTTTGGATGTCATTTATACCTTCTTTATTCTTTGACCAATTACACCAGTAGACTCAATAAGCACTTCTCCTGGCTTCACTTGAAGTAGCTGCAAAAGTGAACAGTTCTGAGCCTAAAAAAAAATTTAAAAAAAAACAAGCACATAATCCACTTTACAGAAATCAGAATGGGGAAAAGAACATTAAAATTTTAAGAGTACTATACCTTAGCAAGGTTATTTGCACAATCTATCACATCCTGGTAACCAGCATCACCCTGGACATCGTTGTAGATCTTTTAGCCAAATAACACTTGATTCAATTTCCAATGAAAGCCTATTTCAAATGAATGTTCCAGAACCAGAAATGCAGAAATAATAAGAATATATCACTTTCCTTCTACTTTGAGAATGAAAGTAAGAAGCAGAACACATTTAGACTCTTCGGCAAGCATGTAGCATCAGGGAGAAAAATTGAATGGTATGAGAAAACATTAGACTATGACAAGAAAGCTTACTGTTGCAGCATTTGCTTGGCCAGCATTTATTAAAACTGCACGTGCCTGACAAAAGGAGAATTGTTAACTAGCAGAAGCTTTTATAAATCAAACCAGATTAAGAACTCTTACTTGCATTATACAGATATCAAGCGCAAATAATCCACTCGCCATTTTAGAAAGGTATTTATTTGAGACGAGAAGTATGAAAGCATTTTGCTGCGAACTATTTGTTTGAGATGAGAAGTAGAAAGGTCAAATTTTTAGCTCATTAACAGTCAAAGTTTTAGCTCATTCAAAGCACTTTTTTGGGATAAGCAAAGTTACTAAAATGTAGAGTAATGTACCACTTCTGAAATATCTAATGCATTTTTGCAGTATACAACAGGTGCAGCTGCAACCAAATTCGTCGTAAATGCCCCTGGAAATTTGAAAAGACGCACACCAACAATAGTTTTAATAAAATATTCATGAGTTACATGTCTTCAGTGCTAGAAATTTGTCAAAACATGCAGCTGAGAACAAATAGACTCTATCTTCTGGAACATATGCTGCAATTGAACATCAGATGGAGAATCACCAAAAGCGTAAATAAGTTATTCAAATTGCTCAAAGAATGGAATTCAACCTGCAGATATGGCATCAACATCACAAGTGATAAGTGCAAGATCAGGTTTCTCTCCTTTGGCACGTAGTCCAGCATACAAGCCAGCGGCCCTGAATCCCTTAGCAGCAGTAACCCCACCCGGAATCTATGCGTACAGTACTCAAAGAAATTAAGGAATATAATAGAAAATGAAAATCACATTTGCAACTTCTACTGTATCCGCTATGTAAGGTACAAACTCCTCGCCATGATGTCTCCTAGAATAATTATTACAAATTCTTATATATACCTCCAAATATTATCTATAAAAGAATATCTCCAAATGTTATCTATAAAAGAATTAAATCTATCAACCCAAACAAAAACTCGAATATCAATGTCTAGAAGGGGACCGCTATGTTTACACTTCCAGTCTATGACAACACAATTTTTGCTCTTAAAAGTACCGCCTAGGAGACAATAAAAAATTGAGATGCTAACCAAAGAGAAACTTGAGTATTTTCCAGTTATTATCACGGTTAACAAACAGAGAAAGAATTAGTGGCCGACCTGCTTCCATGGTCCTTCAGGAAGGAAAATAGGAGCAGCTGGTATGTGATCAGAGGCTTCATTCACGGTGGAAGCCACAGCATATACCTTATAATCTCTCCGAGATAAACCACGCATGCTTAACGTCTGCAAATTCGACGATCGAATCATTTATTATACCATTAATACGGTTTATTTGCAGACTTTTCCAGTAAAAAGAAAAACAACACACGTTCCATTTAATTAGAGCAATTTTTAGCAATGCATTAGCATCCACTTTTACTTCCATTAACCCTCTGAACTATAGGAAATTAATTCATCTAAGAAATGAGAAAAAAAGAGAAGCAGAAAGAAAATAACCTTTGAGGTAAAGAGTTGAGAGAGATTCATTGATAATGAATGAGCAACGCAAAAATGCATCTTTGCACCGCTGAATGTGATGAGGTAGGAATTCGAAAATGGCGAGTTTAGGGCTTTAGGGGTTTCTGCTCAGAGACAACGCTCGGCGTTAAGCAGACAAATTTAAGTTCGCTTGGAGCCAACAGTTACGTTGATTTCTTCCAAAATAGCAGTATAAGGAGACAAATTTAAGTGCCCTCGGAGGCAAGAGGTACACTCATCAAATAATTATTAGTTTGTAGTTGAAGTCATATCGTGGAAATTGGGTTAAATCTCATTAAATTCACTATGTTTTTGTGAGAATGGAATACTCAGTAGCGGTTTAGTTTTAATATTTATATAGTTGCAACAAGTTACAAACTCAACATATTATTTTATTTATCGCAAAAATAAAATCAAAATAGTAAATTAGTCATTATACTATTTTAAAATATTTAAATTATTTTCTTTTACTTAACGTATCATTAGTAGTAATGTCACATAGCAATGAGTTAAACATGAGTCATATTCTATCTGTAAAAATCTTCACTTTAGATGTCATATATCCACTGACGTAATATCTAATTTAGCAAGTTCTTAAAATGTAAGAACTTATGAACTATTCTGAATAAATAAAGACAAAACGGTTTAAACCAACCTATATACAATCCCAACAAATCCCCAAACACCTCTTCAAGGATCCTAAAAACTTCCTCATTAATATCCCCCATAGATAACAAGCTCTCAGGCACATTATCAAAAACCTTCTCTATTGACTCATAAATCCTCACGAGCCTTGCCTTAACCTCCTTTAAGAACTTCTATAGGCCTCATGCATCACATTGAGTTGTAATATTGACTTGTAAAGACTCCCCTCCTTCTGCACACTTTCACGACACTGTTGTTACTCCTTTGCCACGAGAGACTGCTAATAGAGGCAGTCCATCTTAGCAGGGCGTGGGGAAAGGACGAGTTCCTCAAGTGATTTAAAGAGGAAAAAGTTAATATTCTCCACATTTGAGTGGGCTTTATAAATAGTCTTGTAGTCAAGGTAGGGCCTTAGTATGTAGAAGACGAATCAAGTATAGGCAATGTTAGATATGGTGTTAGTTGTTAAGGCCAAGGCCTCAGGTTGGGTGAGGCTTGGCATCTAGGCCACAAGTTCTTATATTTGACCTAAAAATAAAGAATGAGGACGAAGAGAAGAGAGAGTGTAGGGTGGTAGTGGCTGCAAAGGGGAAGAAATAAAGGTTAGGACTTATGTACATAAATTCATTCAACTGATATTTTTCTTCAAAAAAAAACTTACTATCTTTATTTTTTTGAACTGATTCATGGGTTCTCCTAATTTTAAAATTTGTCATTTTAAATGTTACGTCACTGCATGTAGGACATTTGACATTAATATTGCCCCAACCAGAATGCAACA